TATACGTGGCTAACACCTCCCCTCTCCAATGCCTAAGTTATTACTTACTAAAATCTATATTCCATCTTCACTGCCTTAGACCCAATCAGGAGACATCCCTGGGGTCGCTCTTCCCTAGCTCTTACATGATTGGTGTGATCTGTCTTCTGCACCTCTCAGGTCTAGACCTGATTGCTTTCTTGGCATGGTGGTTCTACATCCTCCTCCTCTCTTGGTTCTCTTGTCCGCGAATCCTAAAGTCCCACCTTTGTATCCTTGTCCAGCCATTGGCTGCTAGCAACTTTATTTACCAATCAGAACCAACTGTGGGCAGGGACCCTCAGCGTCTTACATATGGATTCTTGGATTCTTGTGCAATTTTGGGAACCCAAATAATGTAATGCAAGCATTAGAACAAACTCACAACATTTCCCCCTTTTCATCCATTAACAAATTCTTTTCTCTCAGATATACAATGAACATAGTTACAACAGTTATGTAAACTACAAGGTATGACATACACTAATAACATCCAGTCTATTAATTTTGTCAATTTCAGTACATTATTCTAACATACATCTTAACTTAAGGAGTTTGCAATTCTATACCTGATTTTTAACTTAAATTACCACGTAAAACCATTCTTTCAAATCTACATAATTTTCCTCGATGCTAAACAACTTAAGTTTGATTATACCTAGTCTTTAACCCCTTCAGATATCTAAGAACAAATTAAATATTACCTGACTAGATAGGAAGCACAAAAACATAGCTTCAAAAACTTAAACAACTTGCAGATACAGCTGACTACTTGGACAAGTCCCCTATTCCACAAAACGTTGGAGCATCTGTCTTCAGCCTTCTGGCCCAGAACCATCTGACAGAACTTAAGTGAAGCAGGAATTATGAAGGACTAGCTTACTCAATATTGGCAGAGTTAAGCTTTTGACTATTCCACATTGTGTGTCTTTTCCAGGAAAGTATTTTTTGTCTGTAGAGGAATTAGGGCAATTTTTTCTCAATGGCTACCTTGCCACAACTGGAGCAACTCTATATGGCGGTTATGATGCTCAATGTCGTCATTGAACTGTGAAAAGGTATAGTCAGAAATAGACATGACTCCCAATCAAAAATCTAATACTAGCCTGCGCCTGGTCCTTTTGGCTGGGACAGATACCTAGCTGGTCTGCTCCTGTGGAGACACCTTATCCTGAGCCATCCTAGAGGAACCACTGTACTCAGAGCAGCAGGTAAGAACCCCCTCCAGCTTTCACGGGACAAAGGGCCTCCTCTTCCACCAATGCCTGACAAGGCCATCCTCCGCTACATATATGACTGGAGCCATGGATCTCACCATTTGTGTTCCCAGCCTGGCTGTTTAGACCCTGGGAGCTATGGTTGGTTGGTATTGTTGCTCTCCCCATGGGGTCACAAACTCCTTCAAATCCTTCAGTCCTCTAACTCTTCCATTGGGGACCTAGCAATCAGTTCAATGGTTAGCTGCCACCATCCAACTCTGTATATGTCAGGCTCTGGCAGAGCCTCTCAGGAGACAGCTATATCAGGCTCCTGTCAGCAAGCACATTCTGGGACTCACAACAGTGTCTGTGTTTGGTGACTATCCACATGTGATGGATCCCTAGGTAAGTCAGTCTCTGAATGGCCCCTCCTTCAGGCTCTGCTCCACACTTTGTCTCTGTATTGCCTCCTGTGAGTATTTTATTACTCCTTCTAAGAAGGACCGAAGCACTCCCACTTTGGTCTTCCTTCTTCTTGAGCTTCATGTGGTCTGAGAGTTGCATCTAGGGTGTTTCGAGCTTTTGGGCAAATATCCACTTTTCAATGAGTGCATACCATGTGTGTGATTTTGTGACTGGGTTACCTCATTCAGGATGATATTTTCTAATTCCATTCATTTGCCTAAGAATTTCATGAAGTCATTGTTTTTAATAGCTGAGTAATACTCCATTGTGCAAATGTACCACATTTTCTGAATCCATTCCTCTGTTGAAGGACATCTGGGTTCTTCCCAGCTTCTGGTTATTATAAATAAGGCTTCTATGAACATAGTGGAGCCTGTGTCTTTGTTATATGTTTGAGCATCTTCTGGGTATATGCCCAGAAGTGGTATAGCTAGTTCCTCAGGTAATATTATGTCCAATTTTCTAAGGAACCTCCAGACTGCTTTCCAGAGTGGTTGTACTAACGTACAATCCCACCAACAATGGAGGAGTGTTCCTCTTTCTCCACATCCTTGCCAGCATCTGCTGTCACCTGAGTTTTTGATCTTAGCCATTCTGACTGGTGTGAGGTGAAATCTCAGGGTTGTTTTCACTTGTATTTCCCTAATCACTAAGGATGTTGAACATTTCTTTATATACAATGATTTAAGAAAAAATTTAGTAATCCATCCCATATATCTAATTTCTTATGCTATACCCCTTTCCCCCTTCAACCCCCTTCCTTTTGCCAAAGAAAGGATAGAGAAAAGACAGAAATCCCCGAGTCTAAGATCACTATTTAGTTTCTGCCCTGTTTAAAATTGTGACCATTTCCAAATTATCCTGATCTATAATTTATAAAATAACCATAACAAGACAACCAAACCCAAAGGATCAGAATGATGACTCTCCACAACTTCTTGCTGAGGCAAGAAACTTTTAAATTGGGGCAATGAATTTTTAAGGGATGGGGAGGGATAGGAAAATTAGAAAAATTAGTTAGACTTAAGAAAGCTAGCTTTAGCATCTGTTATCCAGTCTCTGTATGTTTAAAAGGTTCAGGGCTTGACTGAAGTTATGACTGGATTCATCTAAAAGTCTGAATGAATCAAGGTCATCAGGAATCACCAGCTATTCCTGAAGCTATTCTGGAAGCAAGTGTCTGGAATCAGCCTCAGGATGCAGGGAGCTGGAACAGCAGGTCATTTCAGCATCCCCAAGGATGAATCTTGTCAGAGCAGTACATTCTGTAATATACGAATCTTACAACCAAAATTTTAGTACTATTAAGATATTCACATGAATTATGCAAGGTGAACAGATCAATTAAGGATGAATTTTTGCTCCTTGTTTGAGCAGTTGAAAGACAACTACCCTTTTATGAGTTAATTTGATCAATAACCAATTGTAATAGATCATGCAGTTGTAATGTATTCATGCCATGTGAAGGATGGCATGATGAATCTTAAGGATTCTATAACTAAAAAATTTATTGTTTAATATTAGTGAAAGTTTTGTCTAGAGACATTTTTATGTCTAAGCCAGTTACAGGGCCGTTCCCATGTGGAGGAATCCGCAAATCATGCTACCTGCCCTGTTTGATATTCTCAAATTTTTCTTTTCTGTCTGTAGCCAAGATCTTCAGGAGGTCTCACCCTAATTAAGACCCTTTCCAAATCTACATTCTTCCAAGAAAAAAAAAAGAGAAGAAAAGAAAAGTCATGGTCAAGCCTATCACAGCAACACCTCAGTCCCTGGTACCAACTTCTGTTCTAGTTAGGGTTTTACTGCTGTGAACAGACACCATGACCAAGGCAACTCTTATAAAGACATCATTTAATTGAGGCTGCCTTACAGGTTCAGAGATTCAGTGCATTACCATCATGGTGGAAGCATGGCAGTGTCTAGACAGGCATGGCACAGAAGGAGTTGAGAGTTCTTCACCTTGATCTGACTGTAGCCAGGAAAAAACTGACTATTCCACACTGGGCAGAACTTCAAATCCCATGCCCACAGTGACTCTCTTCCTCCAACAAGGCCACATCTCCTAAGACTACTACTTTCTGTGGGCCAAGCATATTCAAACCACCACACCATTATTGGAGTTTTGAATACAGAAGACATTTTCTCCCCTGTTTGTAGGAACAATTTTTTTTTGCAGCCTTCTTTTAACAAGAGTTCAACTTCTGCTCTACTCTACCAGCCAGCTGAGGGAGTGTAAGAGAAAAGTTATCACAATATGGGGGGAGTGGACCTATTCATCAATAGTTTTTTAGGGGGAGAGCTTGAACTTCTTTGGCAGCAGTTCAGTCCCATAGCAAATACCAAACACAACTCAGCAGCTCCAGACCAGTCCTCTAGGCTGGCAATCAGGACATGTGAACCAGCAGCTGCAAACCAGTCTTCTTCTCAGGCTAGTCCCAGGCACCAACCAGCAGCTGCTGTCCAGTTCTGAAGGCAGGCTGAGGGTACACACAAACTGGCAGCTGCCGTCCATTACACTGTCTATCCAGGCTGAGGTGAGGCTGCACAAGTGGCAAACTGCCAAAGGAACCTCACAAGCAGTTCTTGGGTGAGCTTTTCTCAATGGCAGCATTCTTTCAATGTCAGTCTCCCACTCTCTGTGGAGTCACATCATCATCCTATGATATCCCCACTCTCTTGTCAGGTTCTCAACTCAGCATCAGGGGGTGAGAGGCAATGAACACACAAATGCCTTTCTCTAACTCTTCTTTTACCCCTTTGCTTTATATTAGATTAATCCCTTCAAAATAGAAATAGCATCTTAATCATTTTGACAACTACATGAATTCTGTTCCGTAGAGAGAAATGGTCCACAACATTTATGCTTTCTGTATTGAATGAGTGGTTTTTAGTAAACTCATAGCTAGCAAAAGCAAGAGCAAGAGAGCAAGACAGTGAGAGAGAGAGAGAGAGAGAGAGAGAGAGAGACAGAGACAGAGACAGAGACAGAGACAGACAGAGAGAAACAGGGAGAGAAACAGGGAGAGGGTCAGCAAATAATGGCATTAAGCCAGAGGCTTACACTACCAGCAAATAATACTGGAGTAGCACAAGTGAGAAAGTAAGCAAAAGTAACCTCAAATAAAGCTCTTAAAATATCCAGTAGAAATGACTAGGGAAGCCCTGCTGAATCATTCCTGCTGGATGTCCAAAGGTTCATGGTATTTGGATGCAAGCACTCACATAGGCTCACATGTTTAAACCCATGTTACTCATTGGTGAAAATGCTGTGGAAGAATTAGATGTGGCCTTATTGAACGAGTTTTGTCACTGGAAATGGACTTTGATGCGTCCAACAATTGTACTGCATACTGTTCTCTGAATCCATATCGAAAGGAGAGCTCTCAGCTGTGCCTGCCTTCAGGATCTCCAATCCTTGGAAATAAAATGTAAGTACAATTAAATGCTTTCTTTTATAAGTCACTTTGGCTGTGGTATTTTGTATCAACAATGCAAAGTAAAGAATATACTGCCTGCTAGAGAGTTTTCTACTTCCCTGAGTGAGCTTTTTGTTGGTTATTCCCCCAGTAGTTAGATTTCTAACAAGAAAGAAGCAATAGTAACTTCTCTTGGCAACAGTAGTTCTAGCTGTTCTCAAGGACAAAATTTTTTGAATTTTTGAATAATACTTTTCTGTGCCTTATGTCCATATCACAAGGGTAAAGGAGGGGGAGTCTTTCTTAGGAAAATGTCCTAAATGACATTTGAGGTAAACATTCCTGAGTCTAAAATTGAAGGATTGGTCTGAATCTCAGATTTGTCTATCATTGTATGTAAACAGTGCATGTCAATTTACCACTAGAAACAGTAAGACATATCTTCTTCTAACACAGTTCTCTCAACTCCTTACTTTCTATATAAGGCTACTCACTTCAACACGTCCATGTCTTATCCATATATAAGAACAACGTCCTTATAAATATGTTGAGTGACATTTACCACATTTTTGTGTGAGGGATATATCATATATCGCATTTATATCCACAGTGTCTGAGCAGGCAGGCAACTCTGAGTGAGAGAACAGAGAAGTAAGATACATCATAAACAGATAGTATCAAAGAGCTGTCATAGGAGGGAAGGTGTAGCAAGAAGTAGAATGCTTTGAATATAAGTATAGATGTGAATTTGAAATGTTATATAACATGAGCAAGTTGCATATTCGTGATAAGAATCAAAAAGTGAAAGTTTGCTAGGAATCTATAGTAGAAAAATTAATCCAAATACTATAGATGAAAATAGGGAAGAAGAAGGGAAACAGTAAGAGAGAGACACATCCACCACCATAACTTGATAGCAAGTCATCTATATCAATTCTCCTCCAGGACTAGCTCTTCCTTCAGCAAATCCTACTCCCTTTAAAAAGACTTCCTCAACTATTCCTTTAGCTCCTGCCTATGCTTCTCAGAGAGAATCTCTAGCCTGTTGGAGAGAGTTAAATACTGGTTCAGGACATATGTCACAGTTGACCTTCGTTGTTCACTAACCTATTGATCATTCCACTAGTCTGTGCAGATTTCAGTAGAAAACCTGAGGACCTAGCACCAAACTTACGCTCATATCTAAATGAGAACTGCATGAACTTGCAGAAGGTAAGAATGAAAGGAGACAATGTCCAAAAAGAAAGACTATTGGTCTCCATGTCTAATATGTTCCAACAGGGTTGGGAAGTCCTATCCCTATGGCTTTACTACTTGCAGTACACATGGCCTCCTTCTTTAGCTGGCTCCACTTGCTAGCTGAGGGTATCATCTAAAGGGGTTTCAAGTTTAGAACCTTCTAACATCTTGGACTCTATACTAAAGGTCATATTTCACCACTGTAGCCCTGTGCATCGATATCTCAAGGTTTCCCAAAAGAAATCCAATCTTACTACACATTACTTTTGAATTCACATTATTTCTCTAAAATGTAGATAAAAGCTTCCAAGATTCCAGAACTCTTGCACTGTGTAAGCCAGAAAACTAGCATTATATAAAGGATGCCAAGTTCTGCTGATTATTTAAAAAGCAGTTAGTTCCCTCCTGGACCAAGCCTCCAATGGTAGTGTCCTTCACCCCTTAGAACAAACCTTTAATCTATCTGTAATACAGATATGTGCTTATTTGCCATCTTTAATCCCAAACAATAAAGGTAAAGTTAGTTTGTAGAAGGAAGCACCCATGTTTGAACGTGATATCTAATTGAGAAGCATACAAAGTGATGAATCAGAGAAAGATTTGACAGAATGAGTATAAGATAGAATACTCCCACCTCTCCTGAGAACAGACAGGAAAAAAAAAAAAGATGCTACTTAAGGTAGCATCACACAAAAAAAGAGGAGGTGGGGGGAGTTTTACTGAGTGAGTTTTACAGAGAGAGGTTAAAGAGAGAACAAACTAGATACAGGTGAAGACAGAACGAGCCAGAGAATAATGAACTTGAAGATTAGAACAGATTGCCATATTTTGAGGCCAAGAAGAAGAAAAAGTCAGAGGCCAAGAAAGGAGCTAGATGAATCAGTCACCTTGGAGACGAGTTTGAGTCAGAACTAGCCAGCCAGAGATCAAAAAGATCTAGGAAGGGGTGAGCTTACTCAGCAGCAAATTTCAGAAGATGAACACATTCTGGGCTTAGATTAGATAGAACAGATGCTAGTAACTTCCAGGACTAGACTTGAGTAAGTACACTGAGGAAGTAAACCTCAAAGACAATGACATTAGGCAAGTAACAGATATTTTTACAATTTCAAGTTCTGCTCAAAATTCAAGCAGCAGTCTGACCCTCTTGAACTAAAGCAGCAATGACTTCTAAGTGGGTTTTCTGACAGAAGCTCTTCCCTCAGCAAGGACATTTGAGTCCAGTACCCTGCATCAATGTCTTTGAAAGGACTCAGAGGTACTGTGCAGTTTTACACAATGGAGCCTGAGATAAAAAAGACAGCAATCACCTTGGAGTTTCTCTTCTCAGATTATTTACCTCAATTACATTTGTGTTATGCTCTACCTGGATTTTTTAGAGGAGGAGTGAAACAGAGACAAACTCTTTGTCAAAACCTAACAGGAATGGATTCTGGTCCACTTGTGAGACCTAGTTCACATTTGAAATGACACTGCTTACATTGAAAATGTAGTGTTTACTGCCGACACATCTTTGGCATTCTGGTCTTCTGCTCTCCCACCAATCATGCACTATAACATGCTTGTGACTTTGTAGGAATTCTCTAGCCTCAATCTAGAGTCTTGGAATCTGCAGGCTGTTCACATCATGGTGAACCATGAATCAGAGAGCTAAGGTAGAGCCAGGGCGGGTCTATTGCTTTCAAAGGCATTCTACTACAGCTTCCCAATGTCATCATTGGCTTTCAGGTTAGGGCATTGACTACTGTTTCCTTCTCTTACATAGGTTTAGTTTAAGAATCATGGACAAAGATAAATTGTTGAGCTAGAGAGGTGAATCAGTGGTTAAGAGGACTTGGTACACTTTCATAGGAACCATGTATTGTCCACAACACACAGATAACAGTTCTCAACTGTGGATATATTTTTAAAAACAAAACAAAACGAAATGAAGCGAAACTTAACAAAACAAAACAGCTCTTGCCTTTACGGAAATAAGAGAGAACTCTTTCTGGAGCCATTGGGAACATATTCTTGGAACACAGAACACAAATTTAGAAAACTCAAAATGCTACATTTCAAAGGAAGCAGTTTCACAGGTTTTTTTTTTTTTCATTTTACAGAACAAGAAAGTTATACATCAAGGCAACTTTAAAATGCGTTGGTGAGTTCACCAGAAAGAGACACGCAACAAGATGTGGAAAACTATTCTATAGATCTAAGATGCTATCTAATGACGTTCTTGGCTCTTGACTAGTAGAAATTAATGTTCTGCTAAGTGAGTAGATTCTAGTGTAAGGGTATGAACATGGCTAAAGGAAGACCTGAAACTCAGATAGTATGCAAAAACAAAGAACATTTAATCTGCAGAAACAGCTAGCATTCTAGGGTCACCATCGTTCAGAATGACAATGCCAACAGAGACATTCAAGCCCCTTTTATAACAGAAGTGCTTAATTGCTTTGGAGATGATTGATGTGTTTATAAAAAAAGATAAAGAGATAAAGAGTGTGTTCTGTGGGTTTGTGGAGAGGTATGGGGGAATGGGATGTCTCAGCAGGCCCATGTTGGGGCATCTCTTCACCCTGAGGGACCAGTCACACATCAGTATAGCATAGAATAGAGTTTATTCAGGGCATAAAGAGGGGAGCCAGGAGGGTAGGTGAGGGAGGGAGAGAGAGAGAGAGAGAGAGAGAGAGAG